TTATATTTATTCATGTTACCATGGCAACGGCACATACGTCAGCTTAACTATCAAAAAAACAAAGTTTGTGTTGTTAACTTGCTTGCTGCCATTTTTGACAACCAAGGGATCAAGGGTTTTAGAGAAAAAGGTGAATGAAACACAGGTATCAAAAACTGTGTTCAGCCACCTTCGTGGAGCTTAGTCAGGGTATTTTGGCCAATTATAAAATATTACCTTTAAATTGAACTGAAAATAGAAAAGATAGATGAAAAGTAGAACAGATAGAAAAATGCCAAAGAGATAATAATAAACCAATGATAGAGGAACGAGGCTAGAGAACATTAACACAGATTACAAACAACAAACTTGAAAACTTTAGGCCAAATTTTTTAAATGTACAGACCGTGATATAGCTCCTTTAACAGCACATTTTAAATCCCTGCGCTGACCTTAAGCTCAAAATGACCTACAATTCATATTATTAATGCTAAAATAAACCTATTTCAGCTCAAAACCCACCAAAATTATGTTCGATTTGGCTCCCAAGCTAAGGATTATTTAACTATTGTAATTTTCCAACCATTTTGATGAATCTCCAAGCTTCTCCAAGTAGCACAGACGCATAAACCAGACAGTTGAAAAAGCTCCCTTTACGTTGTTGTTGTTTTTTTCCTCAGATAATTGATATTGCGGAAGTAAGATACATCCGAGAACTGGGTTTGTTACGGAACCTTAACTTGCTTGGAAATCCAATCCAGGTATTTTTAAAATTACAGTGTAGCTCCTTCAATAAAGACTACTAAATATTTTGTTTTATAGTTTGCATGTATGAAGAAACCCTCTTCAAGGCTTTATAACAATTTTTTTTTTCTTTTTCTACCTCTCTTTTGTTTTATCGTGTGTATGGGTAGTGACTTACTGTAGCCTCCAGTTTAGTAACGAGCCACATGTAAAGCAGTCTCATATTATGAAGTATGTATGAAGTAATTCATATTTGCACTGCGGTTGTAGATGAAAGTGAAGAATGATCATCGCAGTAAATTTTCCAATTTAAGCAATTGGAAAAAATCAGGGCTTCAACGGGATTCGAACTCGTGACCTCCGCGAATACCGGTGCGATGCTCTACCAACTGAGCTATGAAGCCAGACATTGGGAGCGAGGTCAATTAATTGAGTTCATATCTTCCCGTGAGGAGTGAAAATGATGTGAAGTATATATGAAATAACTCATATGTGAACTGCGGTTGTATATGATAGTGANTTTTTTCAGGCTTCTTCTTTCCAATTGCTTAAATTGGAAAATTTACTGCGATGATCATTCTTCACTTTCATTCTCATATTATGTTTTATTCCTTATTTTTTCCAGGGCATGCCAGATTACAGACTTTCCTTGTTGTTCAGAATACAAAGCCTGACGGAACTAGATCGCTCTAAAGTATCGGTTGAGGAAAAGGTAAAAGACACACTCGAGAAGAAGTCCATTGTCTTCATTACTCAGTTAACCAGGAACATTTGACATGATTTGCGTTCAGCCAAAATTTGGATACTTGCAGTTACTGTCATGGGATCGCATGGGAGATCTTGTGGATGGCAAATTTGCTTCGGCCTTCTTGCTGTACATTTAAGCCCCGGCACATTTTGTATGTTTAAGCTTAGCAACCAAGAAGTTTCACGAACTCTAAAAGAAACGAGTAAAACTGTATGTTACAAGGTGTTATTCCCTTAGTGCGATAATTCAAATCTTTAATTGAACTTGACAGGTTTCGGCTGTCAACATGTTTAATCCCCCTGCAGAGGTCATCGCAGCACGTGATCACATGTTTCACGTGACAAAGTCGCTTCTCCAGCCGACGAGAATTCACGATAGGTAAGGACTACGGAGAATTTGTCTTGCGTCAAAAGTTGAAAGCTAAATGAAACCTGCTGGCTAGTTATGATGATAACAGCGGGGAAAGTGGAGGGAGTTTATTATCTTTTTACTTTTCGTTCTGCGCGTAATTTCCCCCCAAAAGTCAACTTCCTTGCGTGCTGAACTGGAGTGGCTTGAGAACTATAAATCAAACTTATTAACCCAAAATATTTAAAGCAGGAAAACGACTCAAGATGATTATTATTAAGAGTTACTTTAGACCTCGTTCACACGTTCTTTCAGCACCCTTCCAAGTGTGGACACACCATATCCCATGTTAATCTTGTGTGGACCGCCTGGATCAGGCAAGCGATATCTGGCGCGGAGACTGTGCCAGGAGTTTCCAGACTTTTTCGGATTTGGGTAAGTTTTGAAAAGGTTAGGATAATAGGACTTCTGTCCAGTAAGTACAATCCTTTGACTTGCTGTATCTCGCATTTCTAAAGGCGGAGAAATACGAGATAACATGAGTAAATTTGTTGCTTGACAAGTTGTGAGTTTGATGAAAAACGTGCAACAAAGCCAAAATGTTTTGCTCAAAGTAGACCCGCGCTCTAATTTCCGCAACAACTTTCTTCAACCGCACCAAATGGTTTTGTTGATCACGCAAGGTGAAAAACGGGAAACATCGACCCAAAACTTGCAACAAAACAATGTTGCGCGACAAGGTGAGGGTTTTTGTATCTCCTACAGTATTTTGCCGCCTTGAGGTAGTTTCTGAACAGAAAGAATGATTAACGTTTTGTCCTAATTTTTCTCAGTATTTCTCACACTACAAGAACGCCCCGCAAGGAGGAAGAAAACCTTGAAGATTACTGTTTTGTGACTCAGGAGGAATTTGAACAAGGAGTTGTGATGGTAAAACTCTTTAACATTTGGTTTCAACTAACTGTAGAACGCAAACTTTCCAAAATACGTTTAAGCCCCGCACCTACTCGCAAAATCCTTTTAGAATAATTTACATATATGTGTATACGTGAACATCCATGAGAAAATTTGGCGTCGCTAAGCTTGTCGAAACGTCAGTCACCAACAACAGTTCTTTTCAGAATTACCCTCACTGGGACGACCACACTAGACGAATTACTGAATTACCTGGGCTCAAGACATTTACTGTGTTAAATAATTCATCCCATTTTAAGGCAATGGCTGTATTTTAGGTGAAGTCGCGTCCTGGAGCCCGATGTTACAAACCTAAACTTATATGTTTCTATTTCACAGGGTAAATTCTTGCAGACGTGCCAGCTGGCGGGGAACTGGTATGGTGTCACAAGAGAAGCCGTGGAAAATGTGGCCCGTGAGGGGCTTGCCGCGGTGTTCCATATGGACTTAGAGGTTGGTGAATAATGTGTACTTTTAACTTTACTCTCGTATGTATAGTGATATTACTTGAAATGGCAACCGTTAAGATTTCTTTTCGGTTTTTTTCAGGGAGTGTTGAGTTTCAAGAACACTTATTTTGAACCCAGATATGTTTTGGTGGTACCTGTGTCAAGAGAGGTAAGATAACATACAGGTATGTATTGTTAACCATATTGAATCAGTCCAGATACTGATCACACAAGCCAACCTGGGTGTAGATGGAGGTGAATATCGATATCAAAAGAGTAACCGCAGAAATAGAATCCACTGATTTGAGACTTTACAGTGGTCTAAGGTTATTAGTATTCAATATTTTACTTCTTTTTATTTATTTATTTATTTATTTATTTATTTATTTATTTATTTATTTTTTGCTTTGTTAGATACATGAAGCTCGTCTTAGGGAGCGTGGTGATTATGCAGAGCCTCTGTTACTTCAGTCATTAGATCGAGCTGAGTTGTGTCTGAAACATAACAGACAAAACCCAGGGTTCTTTGATATGGCTATTAACAGCGGTAAGATATCAGAACTCACACAACGCTCAGTAAATAAACATTCAATACAGCTACGTCGTAGATACAGCACCTGATACCAGCAGAAAAAGAGAGGAGTAGATGTCCCCCCCCGTCCTTGTTTCAGTTGTATCATTTTCGGCCCTTATCTCTTCCCAGATTATAGGCCATCATTCCTGTTACATAACACAGGACTAATTTGTCGTGAAATTCTCTTTTATTTGCCCTTAAAATGTTCTGTTTAAAATTCAGTTGAATGCTTTACCCAAATAAGCGTTCGAGTGGGTACAGGGATTGAGATTAAAAGTCGTTAAAACATCTTACAAGTAGTTCTGTCTATCAGACTTTTAACGCTTATATCGCAGCTGGGATTTATATCTTCCTTTTACTGAATGCTTCAAATAAAACTAAGTTTATGAGAGTAAAAAAAGTGCTATGAACGTTGCAGGAAAAATAGCAAGGACGTCAAAATTAGTTTGATGAAGAAAGATTTCTCATACGTGAATCTCTTTACAATTTCTTTCATGACAACAGAAGATCTTGGTGACGCTTACAAGCGCCTTAAACGCCTAATCATGGAGTACCTTGGTATGTCACCCCCATCTACAGTACACTCTGAACTGTTTAGTGATAGTATGACGTCAGTTGATACCAGCCAATCAGAGGATACCCTTCAGCAGGGCGCGAAATCAGGTACCAGTCAAACAACAAGTGCGACTGTCAACATGGCTGCGAGGACCTGGTCACGACGGTCTAATTCATCGACTATCCCTCCCAAGGGAGTTAAATTGGCACAGCAAAAGACGCCAGTGGTAAGTATGGTGGAACCGGAAGTAGAGTAAGATTCTCACTCGAGCAGTCAACAACACACACTCGCAGTAAACAAAAAATCGGCAAACATTTAATGGCGAAATTGAGAAGATTTGATGCAAGTGTGTTATATTTCCGTAGATGAACTTTCGGGCTTAGCCCTTCTTCTTGTCAGTTTACCAGTTCCTATTTACACACCCGGGACGGGTTGTTCAAAGCCCGATTAAGCTAACCCAGGTTTAAGGAGAATTTTACTTGAGTTTTGCAACTTTTCGGTGCGGCTTTCTTTTTATATTGTTTGCCCTTCAGTTTTGAGTTTGAATAATCTCAAACTACACAAAAAATAAGCAGTGAAAAAAAATTTATCCCAGAAAAATTAACACTTCGGTAAACTTTTAATCCTGGTTTAGCGCTAAGGGGCTTTCGAACAACCTGGCCCTGGGAGGAAAGAGGCACGTGAGAGTCACGTGTTTTGACCAAGAACCAGGACCCGAACTCAGGCCACTTACTCCAGAGTATGCTTTTAATGCACTAACAAGTGGTATTAATCGTATCTCGTATTTCATTTTTGGCAGGAAATTCTATCACTAGAACGGCGACAGACAAAAGCTAAAGCAGCAGTGGCTGGAATTCATCAGGTTTCACTGGAGCAGTTTATCAACTCAAGGTAGCCAAGTCAGTAAAATTGTAGACATGCATGTTTTTACTGCTCAGAGACTGGGGCTTGCAAAAGACAGACTCCCTCCCTACTGATTCCCGTTCCATTCCCTCTACTTGTCAAGAAAGCTTTTGATTTGCTCCTTCGGAGCTGCGGAATGTAGGATGGTAAGATTTACGATACGAAAGACCTCTCATTCAAGTTCCCTTTACATTTCATATATTTTTGTCATCATTCGCTTCCACAGATATTAACGTGATTCATTCCTATAGCCTGCCTACTTGAGCGCGGTATCACAACACCGGCGATGAAAAGTTTAGCAAAAAGTTCAAACAAATCTCCAGTTCATAGGGGTTATTGACCAAGCGTGAGGTGAAGATGGCTGGATATTGGCCAAGTTTTTTTTTTTTTTTCGTGTTTATGGACCGAGACAGAGCCGAGGTCCATAAACTCGCAAAAAACTTGGGGGACGAAGCCAATATCAAGCCATCTTGACCACACGCTTGATCAATAAAGGATTTATTATATGGCTTTTGGGGAAATTTTATTGCGGGACACAGCGGGTAATCCCGAGCGGGCAAGATAGCTCAATCTTGCCCGCTCGGGTAACCAATGACAGCGCAGGATTTGATTCATCTAATTTCCGCTCATAGAGCTAGCCATATAATAATAAGACTTATTATACTCAGTATTTATTAATCACTTGATATTCTCTTACCATTATTTATTTTTATCCTAGGCAAACGGTCTCCGCTAGTTTCCAGCCTTCCTCAGCCCAACACTCCCCGGACATCAAGCGTTCATTCTCAGTCCCTCTCAATTTTAACGCTTCACTGGCTTCCATGGTCGCCAACGCTAGTAGCCATTTCGAGGCCAGAGAGGCAGGCCTGGAATCGAACATTTCTGAGTCCGAAGAAGAAGAAGAAACAACTTCGTCTATCGTGTCATCTGCGCGTGCGTATTCGAACGATGATGCTCAGTTTCCAAGAGACTCGGACGAAGAAGAAGAGGAGGACTCGAGAAATTTGCTTGATTTTATCCCAGCAGAGACGTTCGATTCGCAAGAAACAGGGTCAGTGCCGTTTTCAGGAGTTTTCGGCCAAGTTGAAATTGCCAATTCTATTTGAAATGTGATATCATTTATGCTCGCCGTTACCTCGTACACGATTCAACATCTGGATAAAGCTTTTGGCACTGTTACAAGAATATCTCTTGTTTTTCGTGTCTGTAGGACTCTGTTTATCCTGTAAGTGGGTCTATTTTATATTCATGTAAATGGTTATTACAGAAAGCGTAACAATTGATGCAACTTTTTCTTTTATTGTTTAGCCATGTTCTTAAAATCCACATGTCATTGATTAATAGGATCAATAGTGGTAGTTTGTTTGGGTGTTGTAAATAAAAGAAACGTCACACAATTGAGTCAGTTTTTCACTTGAAAATCGTCCCGGTTGTAGTTCTTTTCTCGTGAATCATAACTGTGAATAACAAGCAGTAGAATCTCGTCAAGAGGCTGTAGTAAAGTAATTTGAATTTGAAAGATTGACGGATTTTTAGTATACTTCAGTTGTGAGAATATTTTTGCGACACCGTTAGGGGAATTTTCTGAACTACTGCTCAGCCATTTCGATGGGACGGTTTTCATGACTCTTGTATGAACACTGAACATCGGCTTTTGACTCAGTTTAGCCGAATGTAAAAATGATTGTGAAGGCAAGTAACAGAACAGTGATTATCATTTATTACTCTAACACGTTCAAGGAGTCGCGAAGCAACACGCTCGCTTTGATTTTCACGTTCACGTTTCTTTCACGTTCACAGCTCTTTATTTCACCTTCAAGAAGCAACGATGAGCAATCGATTAAAACAAGTGCTAGCCTGTTCCCGGCGGTCCAGTTAGTTGGGGCGCACTGCGAAAAAACTGTGGAGCGAAATAAAGAGAGAGACGCTTGATGAGAGGACGGAAACGCCCTCCCGCGCCGCCCTTTTTCTCATGATTTTTACGTGTGCCATTTTTTGCGCTGCGCCCTATTTAACTGAACGCAGCCTGCTAGAGGCTAAACGAGCGCACACGTACCGTTTATCGTCTGGCAGCAGAAGCTAATAACTCCTTCTTGTTCGCTTGACCTATTGTTGAAGAATTATTACTTATTTCATATATCATACAAATGGTACCCATGTCCGAAGATAATTCCATAACGTTCTTGGAGTGTTTGTAACAGGTACCGATGACAGCTTTTTTTGTTTATATCTCAAATATCCAAGATATCTGACTTCATTCCAAGTCATCTTACTGCACATTGTCTTCAGTGGCTGGGTTAGATTATCATTTATTCTAAATCCCTTAATATCGACATCCTGGTATCCTTCATCGCTTCTTGATGAAGAGTTTAAGCAAATCTCTCGTAAGACTGCGTTTCTTGTCCTCAAATCTGTTATATCACGAGAGAAATCTTTCGTTTGTTCTGTTAGTTTCTGCAAGAACGCGTCTCTGAAATAATCATACAAAGCTTTATCAGCACTACTCCATTGCTGAATCTGGGTGACCAGATCAGATGTAATATTTCTTTTTTGTGCTTTGCGTCTTTGATTGTGATGAAAGTAAACAATATCGTCTATTTCCCAGCAGAGGAGATTCTTTAGCATGATTAGGGACTCGTCAAAATACTCCATTATCATAACGAAATGAAACTCTTGATCAAGTCTTTTGATATTTCGCTGAACTTCTTCCATGTTGTCGAAGTCTTTAGATTCCAAACCTAAATCGAAGAACATTCCATTTCGAATAAGCTTCAATCGATCGCTGTTTATCCGTAAGTCTTGAGTAAGTAGATAGTTTACTAAAACATCTTTGGGATTTTCGAAGAATGCCTTTAAGGGGTCTGTTTCATTGGAAATGCCCAGTATTTCACCAAAAGTCATATACGAGAAAGTGGATTCAAAATGGGAGACTGGGTCGCGCAGAATCGTCACGTAGATGGTGTCGTTAGGCATGACTCGGTCCAGGACTTCGCGGTTGTAGCGCGCGTGACTGCAAAGCATGTTGGGTTTTGTGTTGTTGTAATGAATCATGTGTTCCTCTTGAAAAAACCATGGCCATCCTAAACGATTTTGTTTTTCTGTGGGTACGACAAAAACTAGTCCGTTCCTTTCGCCAAACCGGTTCAATATGTTTGTAACAGTACTGCTACCTGTCTTGTGCGTTTTAAGGAAAACTACATTCTTTTTTGGCAGACACCTAAAAAAAAGTGAATGTAATCAGCTAGATCCTGAATAATAAGTGAGTAATAAAAATGGCGTAAGTGATACTTTGAGTACATTGGCCGAGTCCCAGTCAAAGGTGATGTATACCATGATCCAAGCAATCTTAGATCATTGATCCGGAGCGGATCAAGTGGTGACTGAAATCATTTTGAATATTTTTGAATACTAAATTGTATATCACGTTGCCGAGGAATTTAAATGCCACCTTTTTGTCCATAGGGGTTTGCAGACTCTGGCGGCCATGTTGGATGACAGGAACAATTAAGCTAAAAGCTAATTAAAATTGTTTTGTAAATGGTCATCCAAAATGGTCAGTTTTAAACGATCCAAAGTCGGATCTGAGGCACAATAATTGTCTCCACCTACAATTACATTGCTATCACTGTCTCAATCAGATGCAAGCCAAGTTAGGTAATCGCCAACTGCTAATAAAATCAAAGAACATCTGCATCTTTATGCGGACCATAAAGTTTATCCGAAAGTAATTTGTGTCCTTTCAGTTTGATTTTTGCGCTAGCATTATCTACTCTTCCTTCTGAATAACAATGTTCAAACCATTCCGAATTAATACAGCGACACACCTCGCATCTGTTGTGCTCCCATAAAAATAGATAATGGCAGGACCCCATTCTTCTTTTTTTTCTATTGACTCACATTTCTTTGTTGTATTTGTTTCCTCTAGAAAAATTGGATCTGCTTTTTGTTCAAGACACACGCAAAAATAGCTCAGTCTACGATTTCGGTCTGATTGCCAAGTCCTCTAACATTATGAGATAGCAGTTTCAGACTGTCAGTTTTACTTTTAGAATTAGTCATCTAAAATATTGTAGATTAATGAACTCTCCCATGGAGACAAAATCTTCCACGTTGTTTCTTAATTAGGAACGATTTTCCACGCCAAGAGTCGATTGTATTGCTGGTCATTTCGTTTTTAAGCGCAGTAGACCTTGCTTCAGTTAATAGTCATAAATGAGTCTACCTCGAGTAAAGCTTACACATTTGCAATTAATTTCTAGAAATAGAAGAAATTACGGAGATCTCGGAAAAGCAATCTTATCCTCGTGGAGTCGTGCGAACAGCCCGCTGTTGCAACTCTTGCCGTCCATTTTGTAATATTTCCTTGCCTAATTCAGTAGTGTTACGATACTTTTACCGTTTTAAGTTCGTCTTTTGACACCAAAACAAAGTGCCAAAGCATTGAAGCAATAATTATTTCATTTTACTTCACTATAATAAACAATACAGAACCTGTCAGTCTTCTTTTGAATCAAGTAGCGCTTCGACAAAGCCAAATCATAGTTGAGACTATGCCCTGCTTTCTAAGATTAAGATGTTAGTACTTACCCTTTTGATTCACTTGCTCTCGGTGCATTTTCCACCAATTTTCGTCCAGCAGGAGCCGTTTGCTTCTCATCCGCTTTTCCCCAAAACTGAAACGAATAAAGCTTAACGACCGCAGCGATCAGAAGGCAGTTGATAAAGAGAAAGACAAATGTAGTCTTAGATAACCGTTTGCGTATCATGTCTTCTGCACCGCTCTGAAATGCTACTTTAAATCACAAGCGGGTCAAAAATTGTCATCAACGTTTCACCGATTACAAAATACCTGAGGCAATGAACCGGTGAAAAGCTTAGATAAAAGACGAATTATTCTTGCTGGCCAAAACATTGTAAAATAAAAACAGTGATGATTCCAAGGGAGACTGAATAGCTTATCAAACCCTTAGTATTTATCATTCATTGTTCGTATTTCCTAATCGTGGGATAACATTCGATGTCCCAGTTCAAGTTTAACCAATGCTTTCTCCATTTCCGGATTTAATACAGCGTCCGACAAGGCAATCTTTATCGACACATTTAAAAACTTATTCAATGCTGCCAATACGCATGCGTTGTTAAAGAAGAGAGCATTTGAAACAGTTCGAGTTTGTTTAGCCAGCTTATCACCTGTCACACCTGCTGACTCCACCAATCACATAACACCTTGCTAGTTGCGCTGATACCATTCAAATTGATTGGAATGTTGCAAAGATGACTTGTTGAAAAGTTTCCTCATTGCTTCATTCGAGAACGATAGTGTTTAGAAAACAGGGTAAATAACCTGAAGCTAGACAAAAAAAGCCATGTAAACTGTGCTTTTATAGGTGTTTTTGTGAGCGCTTCACTTGTCAACGTGTGCCAGCTAAAATTAGACATGAAGTGTGAAACAAAATATTAACACGGGATCACCTTGTCCATAATGCTATTGCTTTTTTTCTAAACATATCGACTGTTCAGTTACCGAAGTGGCGTAACCCGCGAATAGCGCACGGGCTCAGAGGCGCGTACATTATCCATGAACGAGTTGAGTTACGCGTACGATTAGCCTTTATACGAGTTACAGTTTTTGGAGATGTCGCCTTTTGGAGAGTTTTTGTGTGTGTTTACCGCGTTACCGTGGAGGTGCTTGTTAATGTTTTGATGAAGAATGCTCCGTATCCGCTTAGGAACACAATGTCGACGAGAAAGCCTAGGAAAACAAAGCGAAAGCTAGTCTTTTTTTTTTTTCTAAGAAATGAGTCTGGTAACTTGCAATCCCTAAAGTTTCGAAACGCCTACCGATAACAGTTCGACATTTAACACGCGACCCGACGCAAAACCGTTTGAATTATAAGGGCATGAGTAGTTGCTTTGCTGTTGTTGTTTGATTTTTTTATTGTATTTTTTTTTTCATTATCATTCTGCTTGGAATTTAAAGAAACAGTAATAAACGACAGAGGCAAATGTAATAAAAAAATCTGTTTTATTTTCGATAGATCGATCTTATAAATAACCTCATAGGATCTTTGATACTAAAAATATATCTTGTCTCGATTCATTTAGACCTAATTATTTGATTAATTCAGAAAGACCACCCTAAAACCTACAACAGTACAGTACGTTTGAGAAACCTTCAAGTAATCCTGTTTTGGTAAAGATTGATTTGACTTTTTCTCGGAACGCTTTAAACTATTGCCTTGTTCAAATAAGTTAAAATATTTTCTTTCCAATACAACCGTATTCCGCGTGATGCAGACTTAAATAAAAATTCATTTCAAATGTTTCCATTTCACCTAAGAATACAAATATCTCGTTATGTATACATGTTGTACTCCTGCTACCAAGCTGTGGTCTGTACTCGGCGATGTTCAGGAATTGTCTCAGCGGAAGTGATCCATTTTTTGGAGTGCATTGGGTACGGACTGTCTATAGACAAGCCTAAATTAACAAAACTTGCCGCTGAACTGGTGCCGCCCCTGTAACAAACAAACCAGCACATTAACAAAGCCACAACAAAGAACATCGACATGTTAAGTAAGAGAATTTTCATCCAGCACTTAAGTGTCAGAACTAAAATCATAACCTAAATAAAAACAGAATTTCGTACAGTGGTCTGAAAAGGATAAAAACGCGTTACTTCCTAAACTATACTGCATAAAATGTTCAGCTCCATTGAAGCGATAGAATACGTGGTATTGGTGTTCACACAGCCGCTTGAGAAAGTCTGAAGCACTTCATAGTGCTGATGTAAACCCGAGCTGTAGCCGATAATTAACAGGCAAAGAACTTTCTACTTCTCCCAAACTCACTCAAGTCCCATAACATTAAGACAAAACAAGTAACGTGAAGACTATTTTAAACCAGCAAGCTCAATTGTCAAACCATTAAACGAGGCCAAATTACCGATATCTAAGTTCTTTTCGGGAGTAACTACAGGCTTTCTCTTTCTGTTAAAATCATGTACAACGAACTGTCAAAGCACCTTATTTCAATAGAAGCAGAGCTCAGTGAAGCACTGGTAGCTGCAGAATCAAGCCTCATACTGTTCTGAGAGACTTGTATTTCTGCTGCAGATGGACTCATGTTTAGGACTCGCTCGCTTATCTTGGGTCCACCAATCTCTCCACCCCAGGCGGCTCTCGGGCCAGAACGACCGCGTGTTGGACTTAGGCGAAAGTCTGCGGGAAGGGCTTTTCCTTCCAGGGCGTCCTTTCTTGTTCTCATAATCTGAAGCAAATGAAACATTTGCAGTTAACAACTCAAGAAAATCAAGACGGGAGGGACAGATCAAATATACAATCCAATCAAGAAGGGAGCGACAAAACAGTCAAATATGTAATCCAACCAAAGCGATTTCCACTGACAGTTAGTTGAGGGGGGTAAGGATATTAGTCAATGAAGGGTCACCCCCAGCATTTGATATTTCGGTATCCATTGATCTGTGGTCCCGGTTGATAGAAAGGTGGAAAATGCTATCCAACCGATAAATCACTCTTCGGTGGATAGTGTAGTTTGTTGTTACACCAAAGCGTATCCACTGAATAACGGTTTAAACACTGGATAAAGTTGTCTGTCTATTGAACAGTTGGCATCTGTGTGGAGAGAGGCACAGTGAGAGAAAAGTGTTTTGCCCAAGAACACAACACAGTGAAGACGGACAGGGCTCAAACCCAGACCGCTCGGTCCAGTGCACTCACACATATGCCACCGTGCCTCTCTCAACAATTACAAGAAGACAAAGTCAACTCAGACAACACTACAAGTCACTAAACTATAGTGACTGGCACAAGTTTAGCAAAACGGTAGAGATAAATATTCAAATGTAACAGTCTGATAAGTGCATTTTCATACCTGTTTAAGAAAATCTTTCTTAGCATTTCCATAGCCATTGAATATATGATCAGCAAACAGAAGCCTTCCTCCAGTGTACATCTACAATATACAGTAAAAATCAGTCACATTGTTATTAACCTGTATTTAAACAACTTAAAAGGTTTGTTTTAGGACTTCGTCAGGATATAACAACTTTAGACATTTCCTCTAGGGAAGGTTTACCATATCAGCGCGTATTATGCTAAGTTTACTAACTTACTAAGAACATTCCTGGCACAGCGTTATGTCGTCTGAGGAGAAGAGGCTGGGACTGAGATAAACCACGTGATGCTAATGAAATGTCGTAACGGACCAAGCGAAAAGGATCATTTTGAGCCTGTTAGAAGAAGGAAAGAAGACTGTTGGGCAAAGTATTAATTTTCTCTCAATACATACATACATATTTTATTTGATGAAGTAGGTTTGCATTAAGGTCATTCCACTGAAATAGAACCTGCACTGAGATTTTTGTGAAACTTTGCCTATTGATTGTTTATATTATAGGAACTTAAATTTTGAAATAAAAATGAGGGGTCCCCATGTTCCTTTAGGAGCAACAGCATCTTGTTTATACCCATATAAATCCTTATAATAGCACCATGATTGTAGTGACGATTGCTTGCCAAATTCACGTTTCCGACGATTGCTTTTTGTTCTACCCTGAGAATTGGTCCATATTTATTTTACACAGAGAAATTTATTACTCAATTCAAAACAACTGAAAAAAATGATAGGTCAGCACACTAGTTTGCGAGAAAATGACGATTTACCTCTATGGCGAGGTCCAGCTGTGAAGAAAAAGCCGCCAATTGTTAATGCGCGCGCGCTAATCACGCGTGAAATTATGCGCAGTAGGGATGCGCAATGCAATACTGGGGAATGACCTTAAGGCAGCCAAAGGGCTGATGGGGACCTACTACAATGAATAACGTATGAGGTAAAAATACAAACATGAAGGACTAGGAAGATAAAATGCGTACAGGATTTGCTGCTGTGTGACAATATCAATAAAGTTTACAGCTATACCTGTACACACGGTAGAGATCTGTTCCGGTTTTTCTCGTGGAACAGCTGGTCCAACATACTGTCACAAGGGTTTGCATCAGGATAGCTGCGACAAGGAAAAAAAACATGGTTATCGACTACTGGCATAACAATGGAGGCGATAAACAATGCAATTTGCATCAAATACGACCGAAATTTTGCTGATTTCAAAGCACTCAAAAAGTTTTCGTCTCACTCTAAAATGTCAAGTAATAAACTAGTGCAAGCCTTCCCGCATGTTATCTATACGACAGTCACGACAGAAAAAAAAACTGTTACGTTGGACTACGCTAGAGTATTCTGCACATCAATGATTGACGTGGAGATGGCGTGACTATCACTTACAGAGATGACGTGACACTGACAACAAGAAGCTGTGTTCTAGGAACATGTTCGGTGATAAACGTGTCATATTCCAGATCCATGACAAGAGGAATCTTTCGACGATCACATCTGTATATGAAGAAAGACAAGGCAGCAAAATGTGAACATTTCATGATGTACATGTACCATCAAATTTTCAGAACGGAGATGGAAGCACATGCGTGGCAGTCATTTAGCAGAATTGGGACTTCAATGTTGATAATAATTGTTGATCAACAAGTTCAAGTTTGCTTCATCCTCGCCATGGAATTAACACTCGCCTCGTAATGACGGCCATATGTGCTAAGGATAGAGTCGTAATGGGCTTCCACCGTTTTCTCAATACTGTTCCACAACACCAAACCATCACTGATGGGCTTCCTTTAATCTATGTATGATTTAAATGTGTCTGAAATGACGCAGGAAGTTACGTACCTGCATTGCGGATCTTTTTCTCCAAGTATCTCTGCTCTTAAAGCGCTGAACACCATGTCAAGGAAACAAGGCAAACAGAACAAGGAAAGACAAAGTCATAGGGTAACATGAAGAACGTGAGTTGTGATTCATTCAACATTACCGCTTAATAACATTACGGGTTTAGGAGAGCAGGCCCACTTATCCACTGCAGGATAAGCATTCACTTAATCTTCAGAAGTTACCAAGCGCTATCTCTGTTGACTGTTGTTGTTGTTGTTGTTATTTGTTTTTTTGCTTCAGTGCTTCTGTAATCTTAGTCTTAATAATCACGTAAGCAGGTTCATTAAAGGATACACAGGACACCCACTCCTTGGTGGAGTAGCCACACGCGCCTGTACAACACCACAGCGGAAAGGAGTCCGTGAAGCAGTGTGTGATTGACTGTGGGTGCTGAGGAGAAAAACAGGTCAAATACTTCATTATAAAGGAGACAGACAAACACAATAGGGTTAGTAATTCGCCTGGTAAATGCAACGACAAGATTTTGCAGTTCGCCGTTCACAAATCGTATTGTTATTAATATTTATTTTTTTAGTAAACTCACTCCCTTGATTTAAAGGCAATAAACAGGACGTGAGCCAAAAAACACACAAATCATATCCACAGAATGGTTAACTTAGTAGCTCACCCAGAGAATGCTGATGCAGCTTTACTAGCAAGCCTTGAGCCGCCAAGCATCTCACTTGTGGGTACCTCAATAGTAACACCTCTGAGATCATTAGCTCTTGTACTCAGCTTGGCACTGTCTGCTGAACTATGTGGCCGCGTACCAAGCTGAGATCTTGAGCGGTCCCAAGATTTGCCTGCAGGGTGTGGAACAGGAGGTGCTGAAGGAGATCGCCGCAATGAGGTCCTTGTTGTCTGAAACCCTGAAGGGAGGGTACCTGGCATAGAGCGAGCAGAATGGGACATGGATCGGCGTTTTGCACGAGAGTTAAAACGGATTGGAAGAGAAATACCGACAGCAACACGGTAATGTTCCATCCAGTCAAAGATCAAGCCCCTGAAGACAAAAGAAAAAATGTTAATGCAAGAATTAAATCTCTCAACGTTCCTTTAACTATATGCACATCTGCGCATCTTCAACACAGGATGTCATTAATCATGGAAATGGCAAGACAAATGAAACTTCCATTTTCCTGCGACGGGACACACCTACAAAGCTACTCGAGGACCAAGCCAGAAACTAGTGTGATACGCTAAAAATAAAGATTTCCCAGGTGCACAGTTTCAGCTCTAGCAGCTTGCTAACGCGCCTTATATTTGAGTTAAGCATCGCAGAATACAAGACAGAACATTTTCTTACTTGACTTTACGCTGAAGTTTTAATAAATCCATCTGCCATGGTGCGTCCAAATCGAGTTCTTTCCTCTCTGGAAATTTCTCCTCTAACTCCTGCTGCCGTTGTTCAAGCACCTCTTCAGATATGGTTTCAGGATTTTTAAGCTTCTGCATTTTTTTAAAGAAAAGCAACTTTGTTAGCCACGACAGAGAGGAAGAAAATCTCATAAAAGAAAACATATTGAATGACTTGAATGAAAGAGCCTGAGATCACTTTGAACTAACAATTCTGCTAATGTGTGGCAAATACAGAAAGAGTAGGGAGAGTGGAGGAAAAAGTAAGACAACAGATACCTCCTATCATTTCGGCACTTCGCGGTGCCTACCAGTACCTATCTACTGGCGTCGTTTAATGTGCTCTAGGCGTAAACAGAGAACGGTAGAGAAAGAAGACGAGTGTGACACGAGATGTAAAGGAGCCCCCCCCGCCCCAGTCTTCCTCCCATTCTGTCCCCTGTACTATTGCGTTACATGTAGCGGTATTGTAACTTCTGTACGAACCTGTGCTCGTTTTCTCCTTCTTTCTTCTTTCTTTTTAACTTTAGGCTTCATTGACTAAAACAGGAAAGCAACATTTGGCAATACATTACAAAGTACCGGGCATTACTTAATTTAACTTGCTCCATCAAATGCTTAGATAGAACAAATGTAACACTAAATATATATATGTATATTTAACGTACCAAAAGCGCAGCATTTGAAGAAAACTTCATGCTTGTCTGGAGATATCCCTAAAATAGATAAAGTATTGTAGCTTTTAATATGATATTAAAATGAGCAAAAATAATTCCCAGTAATTCATCAACAGTTCAGAAGTAGGATGAAGAGAGTCGAATAAACAAGAGTTTCCAAGTCCATACAAACCAGTTCAGTAAGCTTAACAGGTTTTGCTCCTTGTGCCAGTCCAACATGGAACTTAGCAGTCTCACTCTGGCAGCTGAAGTACAAGGTTATCCCTGACTGGCTCAAACAGCGGAGACTGATAAAGTTATTCAGCTACAAAATACAAATCAAAATGAAATTTCACGCAAACAGAATGGCATTAAAAATGCAACTGACTTGTCCTAGATTGGATGTACCTGTACAGTGACAGTTGTCTGAAGCCTCCCTAAAGGCCACTTCCACTTCTGCTCCACCCCGCCATCCTGGTAAATTAAAATGAAATTAGCAAAGTTATAAAGCTCAACAAATTTTATCCCTTTATTGCAGTTACTGGACCATAACAGTTGGGTTCATTCAATGATTTAATTTAACTTGTCCATGACTTGTAAAAGATTTCTAAAAGAAGGATAAATCTTGAATCAAGTATTAATTTGCTTAAGAAAAGGAGTTGTTTGATCACAAGTAGAGATTTGTTTTCCCTGCAAGAGTTTCTCACTAGCTTTGCTCAAGGTCTACAAATTTATGCATGGTCAAATACTTTTTTCACATATTTGTTAAAATAATGATGTTCTGAAACATTTTATACTTTACAGAGAAGATGAGAAGCCAAATACCTACATTTACATATAGTAGTATGAAAAAATATTTCTTGTACTTACATCTTCCATAACAGCACCAAATTTAGCCGTTGAAACAAATCTGAACCCAGTGGGGAAAAAATGAGTACATTTGTAATTAATAATCACAGTTACATGTATATGTACTGGTCAGATATTATTTAAGAATAAAAATTAAAATACTAAATGATTAGACAAGGGATATTCCACGTACCTTATACTTCCATTCTTATGATAACAACACCCTTGTCCTGCTGGTACAAATGTAGCCAACATGGGGCTGTCAGTAGAATCTCCATACACTATAGTGTATCTGCCGGTTATGTTAGGACCTGGATAGATGGCACATATTGCTACACGGCCAGATGGGTAGCTGAGATGTCATGTTAAGGAACAAACAGCAACAAAACTAGAAGAATATAATTTATACCATACCATAAAAAAAAATAGTAAAGAGTCAATCAGCTGTTGTATATTCAACAGTATTACACCCTACCTTCCCATGATGTGCCATGCATACCCCACATGGATTGTGTTGGCCACTGCATTGTCTATGACAAGGCATAAAATGATCATGCAATTGCTCTCATGGTTATTATTACCATGGAATATCCCACTGGTCACTTGTATTTTTGTGGTAATTACACATTGTCTAAAGGCTTGTGTGTGTACCAAGAAAATACAAGTGACTCGTGAGATATTCTATGGTAGGCCACTCAAAAACATTGCATAACTAGTATGTATCCAATTTACCATGTCAATCTTTCGTTATTTAATGAGCATCGCATTGTATTGCTGTTGATTATCACATAAGAACTTAAGTAAATCATCCCAAAAAGACAATTCATTCTCAAGCAGTCTCACTTAGTAAGTCGTCAAGGATACTAGCAGTATGAGGTGCCATCAGGCAAAGTGGTGAGAAATTTTGGTCTCTTGTCTTCCTCAGACATGTTCTTCCACCGTTTGGCCCACGAGACTCCTTTCTTGTACTTTAAAGCTGCCTCCCTGTGGGTGTCGCCATAGTACTTGGTTACTAGCGGACCATCAATGCCAAGCTCTCTTGCTTTCTCCTTCATTTCTTCCCTGACACAAGTAAGCAAGTTAAATGTAGCAAAAATATGAAAATTATAAGCAAATAAGTTTGCAAGGTGTGCAAAAGACAATGTAGCTGTATCTCTCCACTTGTTATGTGTCCATTGAGTGATTCAAAAAATAAAATGAAACTGTACATGTCAGTACAGGGTAAGTATGTGCATCAATTTGGCAAGCATTTTTAAGCATTATGTAGTTCCAGAAAATATCCATACCCACCCCAAGGAAGGTTAATGGAAATTCCAAGGGGGAGAGGGGATTTCAAATGCCCAATTTTTTAAAGGAAAGTGTGACACTAAAATGGAATTTCTGCCGGGGTGGGGGAGGGGTTTCAAGCTAAAAAACCTTCCGTGGGAGGGGTATGGATATTTTCTGGAACAACACATTAAAAGTGACACTAACAAGGCAATTACATATGTATTTTATACGTGGATACATGTACATTTCTATGATTCATGGTAAATGGTCTTACTTTTCTCTGATACTCTGCTGTAACCTTGATCGTGCCCATTCTATCAATGTCTGTCTTTCAAGATCACTAGCATCATCTTGATGCAGTATCCAGCCTAACAAAATAATATTACCAGACAGTATTAGCAAAATTAAGCCCAAGTAATATAACGCAACATGAAGAACATACTACAATGAGGCGTGGAAGACTGATGATACCTGTCATCTGGTTGAGATGATGTTACAAAATGGAGAATTTGCATTCACCAAAAAGGACTGAGAACCACACAGGCACATAGCCAAATGTCAATTTTCTTTGCCTCTGTTTCGACAAATGTATGCCAGCATAAGGCTGGTATATCCTGGGGTTGAGTCTAAGTGTCATGTGATTTTTTAAATGTTATTATAATATGTACAATGTAGCTAACAATCTCATTCAGATTCTCAAAATTTGATTACCAGGATCTCATGATCAAAATTCAGAGACACCCAAGATCTTATTGATTATCTTGAAACACAAATGGCCAAACTGACTTTACATAAAAGAGTTACATGTGAATGTAGCATAAAACAAAAAGTTAATAAATCTAACCTTTTTCTTCACAAGTCTTAGATAACAAGGAGAAGTTGATAACTGTTGGCTGCCCTGCAATCCCATGGCCAGAATGTACTGTAAGAAGAAAACATTAAAATAATACAAAATTTATAAATTATGTGCATCTTACATGACATGTCCCAGACATAAAATTATTGATTTCATTTTGTTAGCTGTATTTATGAGCCACTGTAAGCATGTACCTATCACAATATCATTTACCTAAAAAATGTTGCTATGTAATAACTTCGAGAACACAAAGCAATTAACACACCATCAGATGCGTCTTTCTGATTTTCATCATCCTCTTCAAAATGAATGCTAGTTGATCCTCTTTTTCTCTCTGAAAATTGTGAACAAACTTATATTGAAACTTTGAGGGTACTAAAAGATCAGTTTCAAATAAGTCAATGTATACATCAGAAACCTTTGAACAGACTCTCTACTCCCTATTCAGTCCTTAAACAACCATGTATTGTTCAATAACTTGTTATCAGTTATGCCCAGCTAACCATCTCAAACAGCGAGGAAACATCAGGGTAAAAATAACGGAAAGGAATAGTAAAGGGGGTCAGCAGGTTAAGATGACGGAAGGCAACTCCAGTAACTGGATCATTCAAATAAATAATTTGGAGGATAATAAAATCTGAAAGCAAATATTTTGCTTACATGTATTTGCTTGCCTGAAAGCAAATGTTTTGCTTCCTGAAATATTTTTGGCCCTGTTTAATTTACCAACTTTCTAACCCGTGATCAGACGTTTTTTTTTTTTTCCTTGTTGGTGAACGGGGCAAGAGGAGAAAAGAATCTCCAATACATTTACTTCACTTAAGTCGTCTGCCGCCCCTTCCTTGCAGGTTTCTATGATAAGAGACTTTGGCTATTGTCAATGAAATGGACAAGAGCATATTGAATTTTTGATTGATATATGTTGCATATAAAACAAAATGAAAATAATTTGTGCAAGTGGTGCAGCGAAACTGACATGGAAGCATTAGGGCAAACCATACTCAAAGTATTCAATTTCTTCAAATCTCTTCTCCTATAATTCTTGACCAAGTTCATTCTCAAAATATGATTTTTCTCTAAGAACGTTAATTTAGCAAATATCGGTTTTGTAAGTTTAAAAGGCAAAATCAACTGGGCATAAAACTGTCAGACAAAAAACAAACTCTTGAAGTAACATTGACAAGGAATATGATACTACTCTATTTTTTCTGCTCATTAATAATAATTGACCTTAGGAGGTACCTTCAAATTATAATTAAAACTTCTGGATGGAAATTTAAAAGTAACAACTGAAAATTATACTAAACCGTTTTCAACTTGCTAAACCTGAACGTGCTAGGGTATACAGAGTCAAAATGCTAAAAAAACCAACTAAAGTTCAGCAATAATATTGAAACATTTTGTTGGGGACAACAAGATTGAAGCTTGTACAGTTCGTAGAAATCAAGTTCGCAGTGTCACAATACATTTCGTGAAAAAGATAAGACTATTTTGGGGAAAAATTAAGTCTTGAGACTAAATTATCACGAGCAGCATCCTTGCTCTAAAATAATTTTATTTCATTTGAATTCCGCGGAATTTTCGCGGGTAAATTCATTGAGCAGAAACCATTCAAATGCCGTAATCAAATCGACCGCGTGCAGTTGTCAATTTCTGTTGTGGAGTTCCCAATATCAAATTTACACCATCTAAATCAAACCAATAAACATTTACTCACCACTAGACTTGTCGTTCAACAATTTGTACCGCTCAAGCCGAGTCTTGGGTTTAAAACCATAAAATGAATTACGCGAAGATTCTCGGCGACCCATTATGTCAGAATGATCTGTGGCAGGAGTTGGGACAACTGATTCTCTTTTTAACTCCGCATCTGTGGAGTCTATCTTTGTAATCGATTCTCCGACAGTTGATTGTTTCCGTTTGTTAAGATCTTTCGATTCCGAAGTTCTAACCGCTCCTGACTTATCGTCGCTGGCCGCTGTTTTGTTTTGATCCACACCTATATTTTTCTCGTGACCCGACTTGGACGCCTCTACGTTGGTTTGCGAATCAGACATGATTGCTAGCCGTTTCTGTAAGATCGCTTGTTCTCTATAACTGGTAGTCTGCCACTCACGACGCAAGTAAATAACGCCGGAGGAAAGTTCTTCGAAGTTTGCACTAAGCTTTCTGTGCAAATCGTCCGGTAGAGGAACAACAACTCCCCCGCTACGAATAGTTTCAGTAACACTGCTCTCCTCGCCAGCTACAACTAGCCGAGGAGTTGAAGCTCTGCTAAACTGAGCACTATTTGATTGAATTTCTTCTAATTCCTCTAATTGTTCCTGGTGAATTTGATCAAGCAATCGCCCAAGCTGCGCCAGTAAATTTTGAGAGGCAAACTTGTTCTCTTCGAACAAAAATCTTTGTGTGTCTTCTTCGTCATCGTCTCCTTCTAACTGTTCAAAGCTCCTTATTGCTGGAGGAGAGTGAATTCCGCCTGGATGCAATCCAATGTCAGGTAAATTTAATGATTTTCCAACACCAGCGTGTTTCTTGCCGTCGATCAGATCTGATTGATCACCTTTGTGAAGAAGGAAGTTGCCGAGCGTTTCTGCCGCTCGTGACCCGGGAGTCTCGCTGCTTTCTGTCACAAAACCTTTTTCCTTTCCTTGTGCTGAGTCTCCAGCTTTTTGCTGTTGCTGTTTAAGATAAGCTTCGACTTTGACCGCGCCGCTGAGGCCCGTAAGTCGTAAAGAGAAAGGTAACAGTTCAGTCGGTTTTCGAAAGCGTTTGTATTTGCGTCTCGCGCTGCACTGATCAAAGAAGAACAACTCCGATTGATGATGAGACATGGCTTCTCCTGCGCGTGCAACATCAAGACCGTCTTCCAAGAGTTAACAAATGACCAGCAGGAGGCGCGATATTTTCAAATTCACCCTCATATCATCCTGTTGAAAAATAATTCATGCTAGTTCACTTCTAATTGCTGTGAAGAGTCATTTAGAAGCTGTTGCCATGACTCCAGACCAATGAATAAATAATCAGACTGTTCTTTTGTTTAATATTTGCAGAGAACGAAGCAAAATTAAAGGAAATCTTATTGCACTTTCTGAACTTAAAAGTCCTTAAAAATAAAATACTAAAACCTTGATAGAACAACAATAAATGGGGATAAAATCTACAAAAAAAATGTGGAATAGGCAAGAAGACCGCCGTGCCGTGAGTCCAAGGTCTCTATGCCTCTCTGTTGTTGTTGTTTTTTTTGAACGCAAATGGAATGTATTCGAACTCAGTTGACATTGAATTGAATTTGGTTCCTTTTTGATAACAAGTCCCATTGCGATCAAGTTGCCAGCCGTAGAAAAAGAAAAAAAAATCTTGCCAATGCATTATCAAGGCTGCTAAGGACTCTGACAATAATTTTTTATTACCCTTACTTTACACAAATAATTTTTGTAAAATGATAAAAAAATACTTGCGAGACAGAAAATGTAAAAACGTGTGTATGTCGCTTCAATCACGGAATGGCCAACACACTGGGGATAATTACACTGGTATTTGTCATGTTGCGTGACAAATAACACGTCTATAAGTTACGCAAAAAGCTGGACAAAAAGGTGAATATGCTTGACAAGTGAAAGTGCTGCAGTAGCGACAACATTGTAACAGGATCTCTACGAACCTAAGTTCGAGGAACAGAAGGATGTACAACTGAAATTATTTTTTCAAACGTTGCTTGTTTTGGATATATAAACCAGCTATGTTTGACAATTTTCCCCAGACTCACAGTAAGATACATCTGTAAGATAAGAATACACAGTTAGTTTATACTGGCATTCATCGCAAGTTTCTGTTCTCTCACATTGAAGAGACTGTTTTTACTATTTCTGTTTTATATTATAGGCAGCAGAAGCCTGTACAGGCTACGATTATATTATATCTCTCAGTCAGTACGTGGGCCGTGATTGGTCAATTTAGTGGGCCATATTTTCCTGTGCAGCTCGCTAAAATTTAAAGCTGTTTTTGCATTGTCGCCAAACTGTTCCATGATTTATCGCCAAGTGTTGTAACGTTCATAGCAAGTAAAAGTTTAAAACTGTCTTTTACTCAAAATTGCGTATCAAAGCATGCTATCAACTCAAAAATGATTTCAAATTGGCTTGTTTTGCTTTCGAGGTGCGTCAGAATTTGAAGCCGCTCAAATCCTTAATGAACCCGTCAGGCACACAGTGGAGATACAATAAATATCTTACTAACCTCATTTTCTTGGTCCGCACTGTAAGTTGAGGATCCTCATTTCTTTTGGAATCTATTTAACAACAGAAAAGACATTGTTACTCTCAGTTCAATTTTGTACCCTCTTTCTATGATCTGATAACTGTCGCTGCTATACCTTCTCCTATTCCAGTGGTATACTTTGCATTAGGCCTGTTTTTCTAAGTGTATCCAGTCTAGCTAGGCTTTAAGCAACCCTGAGAATGACTATAACAGCTGTTAAATATTTGTTTTGGTAATTACTTTAGAGTTAAAATCTACAAGAAAGCAGATCTAGCCAAAGTGACAGATTGAGTTGTTTCAGCTCATTTTCCAACACATAGAAGTTTGCCTAGTTTGTATTTTTGACTCTGTTCTTGGTGTTTTGAATTGCGATAAAGCAATGTCTGTCATCACTCATGTCTATTATTTTCATTAGGCTTATTATATTGTTTCAGAATATACAGTTCTGTAAAAAAAACTGATGCTTTTCACTTTAAAGTCAATCATCAGAAAGTTAGATTTAGCGGTGAACCATAAAGACAACAGCCAAGTAAGAACAACTATGACAATCATCATTGATTGATTGATCATATCAGATCTTCGAGAGCAGCAGTTTTTTTATATAATTTATAATTACCCCTTTGTGTTCCTCACTAGCAGTATTTTTGCCATCCAAAGGAGGTGTGTAGGCAAAAAAAATTAACTCCATCTCTACTGAAATTTAGAGTGTATTTTTCTGTCCAGAATCACTTCTGATAACTCTCTGCTTGTGTAGCAATTCCAGTGATGTCCATGTCCATGCCCAAATCAACCTATCACAAAAAAAATACACCGTGTGCACATTATACATTTAAGTACGGTAAAGTCACTAATAACATAGTTTCATAGGAGAGCCTTCTTTGCCATTTGAGGCCAGCAACTTGCCTACAGACTGTCTTGGTGGATTTTTTCTTTTCAGACATATTTCTTTTAAAATATTGATAAAATAGATATTTTTAAAAAATTGTTTAAAACAGCTTGGTAGGCAGAGCTTGTAACCACCTTAATTTCCACTGAAATTTATGGTGGCTTTAAATATCCACAGGTTTTACATGTAAAAATTAATCAGCT